TGCTCTTATCACTACAACTGATTTAATCTTATTGCATATTTATATTTGTCCCAAAAAATTAGTGCTTTTTGGTAGTTTGTATTCACACGTTTCGACTTGTAAATGTAAACTAACAAGGATTATTTAAAAGAGCAACACACAAGTTTCTTGCTCGTACTTCTTGTGAGACAGCTTTCCGAACGAGTGGTAGATAAAAAACAAATTGTTATGACTATTCAAAAGTGCTTAAATTAAGTTTATTTGAATAAATGATTATCTATTCTATTCTATTCTTTCGGTTGGTAACCCTAAAATCATTAACCGTCGAAAAACGAAATGATCTTCGTACAAACCATTGAGAAACCCATAGCTCGTCACCTGTAATGACGCACTACTATTTCTGTAAGCTATTTATAAATGTAGGTGCTTTAATGATGGACTGTTACGACATCGTGCGCCGATGATTCATTTCTGAACATCAAACGATGTTATTTTCTTTTATTTCATATTGTTTTATACACAAATGTAACAAATCTCGTTTTATTACCTCTATATTATAATTATTTTGTTATTATTTTCATATTTAATGTACATATTAATTTATGTAATTACTCTTTCTGTGAGAGGAACAATAAAGTGTTTTTCATTCATTTTCATTCATTCAAATCTCGTTACACAATAGCCAGTCAATAGTAATTACATTTTTAAGATAATTATGTCACAATTACAATTTTAAGTATTCAAAATAATAAATTAAATAATATATAACATAGTAATAAAAGTCACTTAATGGAAAATGTCAGAATTGTACATTGGAATTCAGAACAATAAAGTGTTTTTCATTCATTTTCATTCATTCAAATCTCGTTACACAATAGCCAGTCAATAGTAATTACATTTTTAAGATAATTATGTCACAATTACAATTTTAAGTATTCAAAATAATAAATTAAATAATATATAACATAGTAATAAAAGTCACTTAATGGAAAATGTCAGAATTGTGCATTGGTTTGTACTGTAGTGGAGAGAGACTAGGAAGGCCGAAAAAGAGATGGATGGACTGTGTGAAAGATGATATGGTAAGAAAGGAAGTAAATAACGAGATGACTGCGAACAGGGATGAATGGAAACGAAAAACATATTACGCCGACCACAAATAAATGGGATAAGGAAGAAGCAGATGATGATGATGTAGTGGAGAGAGACTATACTTTTTTTTATAATACTGGGGACACCGTACCACCGTCACCATTCCCCCACCACCTTCCATACCAGCACCATAAACTGAGGATATATATAATATATATATAAAGAAATAATAATAATAATAATAATAATAAACCACCAAAAGCTGAGATAATGAGACGATAGAGAGAAGAAGAAGAATATTAATGAATAAAGAATGTCACCTGAAAAAAAGCGACAGATATTACTTATAAAACAATATTAAACACAAACTCTGCTTAGCTTAAGACTAGATGGCGCTGTGTGAATTGTCTAGGAATATTATTATTATGTTTTGTCACAGATAAAGTCTTCTTTCGAAGCAGATTATATATATTCCGGACATATGTGCCTTTTGTAAACAGATTCGTGGAGTGGGGAACTCGTAGGCGCGGTAATTTTTATAAATAGAAATGTGGGACAGATGAATGGACCGTTTACATTTATATATATATGTATTATATGTAACTTTCAAATGTTAGCATGTGAGTGATTAACTTCGACGGGGAATGCCGTCGGAAAAAGTAGATATTTGTAAACAAAACTGTAATTTATTTTATGAATGAGCTGTGTCCACATTGGATGCGAGCAGCGCAGGACCGATCGTCGTGGAGATCTTTGGGGGAGGCCTATGTCCAGCAGTGGACGTGTTCCGGGCTGCGATGATGATGATGATGATGTGTCCGTTATACCCGTGTGTAATTTATAGTCGCTAGATTAGGCAAACCAGCATACGGCCCATCTGATGGTAAATGATCACCTTAACGCTTAGACGCATCTTTAAGGGGGCGAGTGTACACCCTTTACGGTCTTATTACAAAAAATCTGTTAAAACTCGGACGAAACGTGGTCTAAATGGTCGTGGTTTAAACCATTCCTAAAGTTAATACTTGGAATAAACCTAACATTATTACGAATCCAAATCTAACAGAGGACTACTTAGTACTACAGTTAAATCGTTCATTATGTATTCCATACAGAAATCAGTCACTCATGTCTGTCACCGTACAATTACATTCCATTTTACCAGAAAACTGAAAAGATCAAAAATAATATTAGTTCAAAGAAAAATGTATAAACTAAAAATAAATTTATTTCTATTTATCTATGTCTTCATTATAACTATTTCATTAATATATAATATTTATTAATGTACTATTAGGCTGAAAATCAGTTTTAAATTACAAGTAGGAGTCCTATACGGAGAAAAGGAACGGCGAGATATTTTTATTGGATCGTTCGAATGATGACTATTTCAAAGTCAAATGAGTGAAAAAATAACAATTAACGTCTTTTATATGTTTTTATTGTCGTAAAATTTGCTTTAAATGGTTTTAGTTAATATATTTTTAATTTAGTTAAAATATTTTTCCAAAAACTACAACTAACAATAGAATTTTTAAAATGGAGTTTGTATTTTTGCATTTAGATCACTGTTAAACTAGGGGCATCGCAGGTCTAACTTTAGACCATAGACGAATCACGATTTAGAGATAAACTTCATTTTGTAATAAGGAATACATTGGTGAATGGTTTATTACTAGTGCTAAACCAGATTTATCTTTTTGTAATAAGGCCGTTAGAGTTTAACTATATGATATACTTCGTTTTTTTTTATATTATAACCTATGTGTTATTCTGATGTATAAACTATAGTTCTGACAATGTTATCTGATTGAACAGAGATTAAGTGCGTAGCGGTTTCTATGTTGATTGTCGCATACCTAATCCTTGTTGTTAATTAAATATAAGTAAATCAATATTTATTTAAAAGAGCAACACACAAGTTTCTTGCTTATACTTCTTGTGATGAATCTGCATTCTGAATAAGCGGTAGAATAAAAAACTTGACTATTTAAAAGTGCTTATATTAAGTTTATTTGAATAAAGATTATTTCTATTTCTACTGTAAAGTTTCATCAAAATCCGGTCTGTAGTTTTTGCGTGAAAGAGTAACAGACATTCATCCATCCAATCGTAATAACAAACGTTTATAATATTAGTAAGCGGCTTGAGGACGTTATAACAGTAATATACTACCTCAAATTACTGACAGTCGTGAGTTGATGTGATAAAAACACCGAGAGCAATGTCTTTATTTCGATAAATCTATATATATAAAAATGAATTGCTGTTCGTTAGTCCTGCTAAAACTCGAGAACGGCTGAACCGATTTGGCTAATTTTCATCTTAAAATATTCGTGGAAGTCCAGGGAAGGTTTAAACGGTGATAAAATATGAAGAAATTGCATGTAAAATAGTTAAAACAACAATTTTATGTTCCCATACACACTGCTGATACCTGTCAAACAGGGTGTGTTCAGAAATGTATTGCGTAAATTAACTTAAAAAAACCTTTGACATATTTCATTTTTAGGCGGAACGGAGTCAGCTGTTAGATCTATACATATAAATAAAATTGGATTGTCTGTTTGTAATATTGAAATAACCGTTTTTACTACATGCATGTGAATATAAATACGATACATACCAAAATAACGTTTTTTACAATTTTTGTCTGTCTGTCTGTCTGTTTGTTCCGGTTAATCTCTGAAATGGCTGCACCAATTTCGACGGGACTTTTCTTAGCAGGTAGCTGATGTAATAAGGAGTAACGTAGGCTATTTTTATTTTAGAAAAATAAAGTTATATTCCACGCGGACGAAGTCGCGGGAACAGCTAGTAGTGATAATACATTTTAAGCCACCATCATATTCAGGTTTTAAGGAATTGTCATAAACAACTTCTGGTTTTATGAGCCCAGAAACATTGGCATGCACCTGTATCTCAGTAGATCTCAAAATAGTGAACCAGAATGATACAAAAGATGGTAGCCACGTTGGTACAACTAAGATGTCATGTCTACACTGTAATTTAACTACCGTAGCTCAGCCTTTAATTGCACCGAAGATAATGAAGCGAGCTACTTGGCGGCTGGTTCATCATCATCATATCAGCCCGCAAGATGTCCACTGCTGAACAAAGGCCTCTCTCCACGACGATCGGTCCTACGCTGCATCCAATGCATAAGCTCAAAGTCACTCAGAGGGCGATGGAGAGGGCTATGCTCGGAGTTTCTCTGCGTGATCAAATCAGAAATGTGGAGATCCGCAGAAGAACCAGAGTGACCGATATAGCCCGAAGAATTGCAAAACTGAAGTGGCAATGGGCAGGCACATAGCTCGTAAGACAGATGGCCGTTGGGGCAGTAAAGTCCTCGAGTGGCAACCGCGGACCGGAAGACGCAGCGTGGGAAGGCCTCCAGCAAGGTGGACCGACGATCTGGTCAAGATCGCTGCAAGGCGGCTGGTTAACATATACAAATTCTACCTCGAAAATTCAAATCAAAACAAATAAAAAATCATTCTTGTTTTCTATTATAGCCGATATTAACGTCAAGTTTTCATTGAGTATTGCTTGCTATATTTTTCGGTTTTGGGTACACCCCCATTCTTACCTGATATTGTTTTTTTTTGTAAATTTCTAACTGTAGTAAAGTTTAGTGTTAAAAACAACAAGATGACCGCTGTCGTAGACCCCTTGCAGTTTGTCATAGACCCCTGGGGGTCGATATAGACCACTTTGGGAATTACTGGTTTAAAGAGTCTGATGGAAAATCGTGGAAAGTCGCAAGAGCTCCAGCGACAAGAGCGTCACTCTTAAATTATGAATGAATAACAGATGTATCATCATTGCCTTGCCTTTATCCCATTATTTGGGGTCGGCGCAGTATGTGAATGAATGAATAACAGATGTATTTCAAATTTTAATCAAAGAAATTTTGGTCTTTTCAGATACCAATTGAACAGAACACATCGCAAGCACAGACGGGTGCGTGACGCAGCATCAGGGAGCGGGTCGAACTCGCGCTCCAAGACAACTGGAGGCGGCTGACAGCCCGCGGAACTGTGAGTATACCACCAGACTCTACCAGCACCAGACTTATGTGTATTTAGTTGAACCTGTAATTTCATTACCTTACCTCACTTATGTGACAGTGACGTTATTTATTTATTCATTTAATTCAGACAACATGGCCCATATTATACATACCTTATAGACTAACATACATAAGAAATAATAATAAAAAGCAAATAAAATTGTCTCTATGGTCACGGCACTGACGAAGCGCCAAGATGCCACGGTAGCGCCGATAGACCACCCCCTTCGGCCAGTAGTCCTCCTTCATGAAGGTGGGCAGCATGTTGGTGGGGACCCGAGCCTCGAACGCTTTGAAGCTCGCGTTGTGACTCGATTCCATCTACGTCACCCTCAATGACAGGTTACTTTTGGTCCGGATATAGTCGACAATCGGTCGGTGACAAGTCCCTGGAACTGTTCTGGAGCTCTTTTTCCCTTTGTTACACGATAGATCTGGCACCGCTCGGTGAATCCATCGAAAGCTAAGTTCGTCTCTCAGTACAGTGTTTGTCATTTTTTTGGTAGGCAACACTCGACAGAAGATCACGTCGCTCCTTCAGTCAAGAGCGGCCGCGCAGGAGGACCAGCGCCCACTCCCTCGACCTACCCGCCGAGGAGAGACCCCACCACACCGCCACCATACATAAGTAAGCGTAATATAATAAATCGAATTGAAAAATTGTTTTTGTGTTGGATAGTCCATTTATCGAGGAAGGCTTTTAGCTATATAACATTACGCTACGACCAATAGGAGCGGAGCTGCAATGAAAAATATTCCATAAGGCGGGAAAATGAAACGCAGACGAAGTTGCGGGTCAGCTGGTTATGGAGAATTGTGTCGAGGTTTTAATCCACACAAGAAGCTTCATTCTTTCATAAACTTAAGAGCAACGCTCTTGTCGGAGCTCTTGCCACTTTCTACGATCTTCCATCACACTCTTCAAGCCTCGATACGCCACGACTTCAATTTTGTCTTTAATTTGCTTGATGTAACTGTGCCTTGGTCTTCCTCTCTCCCTCTTTCCTTCTATCTCCCCCTCAATAATTACTTTCATAAATTCATCGCGCCGTATCAAGTGCCCTAACATTTTTCCTCTTCTGCTTTCTATAGCATTCAATATCAGCCTTTTTCTTTCACCCTGTGCAATACTTCTTCATTTCTTACTTTAACAACACAAGAAGCTATTCTGCCAATATTTGTGGCCCTCCTTCCCCCTATCCGGCCCCATAAAAACCACATACGAGAATAAACTAATGTACGGGGTCTTCCTTATTGCGTGTAAATAGAAACTTTTGAATATATTTCTGCCTGCGGTTTCACCCCCATTAAATATATAACCTACTAGCTAATCGCCCCGGCTTCGTACGGGTGTACATTTATTATATATATAAACCTTCCTCTCGAATCACTCTATCTATTAAAAAAACCGCTTCAAAATCCATTGCGTAGTCTTAAAGATTTATGCATACATAGGGACAGACAGCGACAGCGACTGTTTTATACTTTGTAACGATTGGCTGTAACTGCGGTTTTATCCTATTATATTTATAGCCTATATGTTATTTTGATGTATAAGCTATATTATTGTAAAGTTTCATCAATATCAATTCAGCAGATTTTGCGTGAAAGGGTAACAAACATACATGCATACTCACAAACTTTGGCGTTTATGATATTAAATAATTGAGTGCATTACAATTCAATGGACGGGGAGTCTTTCTTTACGTGTGTCAAATCTCTCATGAAGACCAGTCCATCTCGGAGGTTTCTATACGCTGGCGGGGCACCAGTGGAGGATGATAAAATAAGCATGAGGTCAGGACAGTTGGCCCGTGACTAATTCACCAGCAATTAACCTCGATGGTTTCCAGAGGAAAGGTTCACCATGGTACATTGTTAACACTGGTGTGGTACCCCACTAGATGGATATATAAGGTCTTCACCAATCACAGACACATATCATATATGAGTTACACAAAAAATATGAAATAAAAAAAAATGTAGGTGTCTATGTGCCGCAAAGGCAAACTCAGCATAAAGCTACAGACAAATCTGCAGCGCTGATTATATATATGCATTGCATACGCATTTTTCATACCCCTGAATGATAAGAGTTGTCCACCCCTAACACTTTTTTTTTAATTTTTTTGTCGAATTTTTTTTTTCGTGTGTCATTAAAAATACTTACACGCTCTAAATTTTCACCCTTCTATCACCAACCCCTATTTATTTTAATTTATACGACAAAACAACGTTTCCGGGGTCAGCTAGTAAATACATGTAAAAATTATTATATATAAACCAGCTGTCCCGGCAAACGTTGTTATGCCTTAAAATATAAAAAAAAATTAGGGGTGGACTACCCCTAAGATTTAGGCGGATGAAAAATAGATGTTGGCCGATTCTCAGACCTACTCAATACGCTCACAAAATTTCATGAGAATCGGTCAAGCCGTTTCGGAGGAGTATGGGAACGAAAACTGTGACACGAGAATTTTATATATAAGATATAAATACATATATAATTCTGAAAATGAATCTGTATTATTGTAAACATGTATAACATTTATTTGAAAAGAATACGAGCTGAGTTTCTTGTCAGTTCTCATCTCGAAGTCATTCCGAACTGACGGTAGATTTGACATATCATAAGAGTCTGTAATAGACCTACATGAATAAAGATATTTTGAATTTAATTTTGATTCGTCCGCAGAGCACACTCTCTAAGCAAGATGGCGACTTTATCCCTGAAGATATCGTTGGAAGGCGGGACGGTGGTGAAGACGATACAGTTTGATCCCTCCACCACGGTGTACGACGCCTGCCGCATCATACGCGAGAAGATTCTAGAAGCCAACGCCAATGAACGTAAGTGTACACACTCGGAATGTCGTGGGTTCGATGTCAGCACAATACAAACATTTTGTACTGTTTTTTTTTGCGTCTTATTCAAGAAATATCTGCTTTCGAAAGTTTACACTCTATCCTGAGGAGATAAAAACCATCGCTCCTAAGAATATCCTTCAATTCTTGTCCCTGACGGGTCTAGGTAGAGAACTCTGAAAAAGGGCGAGCACAATAGATCTATGTAGGTCGCAGTGCTACAGGTCCAAGCACCTGACAATAACACAATAAAAAACGGTTTTTTTTTTAATTTTTTTTGGTCGTACACTTCTAACAGTGTGGTCAAACCGATACAAACAATCATACTCATGAATACAAATATTTGTGCCGTGCGAGGAATCGAACCTGCGACCATCGGTCGTAAAGCGGTGTGCTAGACCGCTAGACCACCTAGGTCGTCGGATGTACAGAAACTTGTGTGGCATTAAAAATACATACAACCCTAAATTTTCATCCCTCTACCATCAACCCCTATTTTTAAAAGCGATTAGTACCTAAATATATATGGCAAAACAGCCTTTGCCGGGGCAGCTAGTATTAATATATTTATCTCTTTCTAACAGCGAAAGAGTACGGCCTGTTCCTGGCGTCTGAGGAGGACAACAAGAAGGGTATATGGCTGGAGGCATCTCGCAGCCTTGATTACTACATGCTGAGGAATGGAGACCTGTTGGAGTACAACAAGAAGACGAGGAACCTCCGTGTCAGGATGTTGGATGGTCAGTAATTTTTTTCGGACTACTCTAACGCTGTTGGCCACAGGCCTTTACAGCTTCACCGGACGATAGGGAGCGAGTGCAGATGGCACTCCAAACCAAAGGAAGGACTTATGGAACGGCTGAAGGCCAACTCCCGCCTGACGGATACGACTTTAGTTTGAGGGCACCACTAGAGGTTCGAACCTCGGCTCAGGCCGTCGTAATTTCGATCCCCGTTTGAATTGGACGGGGGATCGATCGAATTGCAAATCGAATAAACAATTTAATAATTGTATTGATTATTTGTATTAATCTATTGATTAATTCTATTTGTTTTACAAATAAAATAATAATAATAATCTCAGGACAATTCACACAGCGCCATCTAGACCCAAGTTAAGCTAACTAAAGCTTGTGTTATGGGTATTAGACAACTGATACAAATACATAGATAATTTTTTTTTCGTAAACACATACATAAAATATACCCAGATGGATACAAACAATCATACACATGAATACAAATGTTTTGCGTTGCGAAAAATCGAAAAGAAAAAAACTGTACCTTAATGGTGGTAATATTTCCAAAATATAGATCCACTTTGAAGCATTTGCTGAAGTGCATTCACTTGATCACTCAAACACAATGAATTTTTTTTTGTCTATTCTCACTTTACTTTTTAAATGTATCATTATGGATTGAGAGATCCGGTGTACCCAGCTTATACCCATACCACATAGCCCCTGTTAAGTAGGATAGTAATGCTACGTTTACATTCAGCCGCTTCCCCTGCCACTCGCGCTGCCGGAAATATTGCCGGGCGACAACTGAGCGAGAGGGCTGAATGTAAAAACACGCTGCCACTCGCGCTGCCAGTCCTTTGACTCGTGCACGGAAAACCGACAATCGAGGGAGCGCCGGGCAGCGCGAGTGGCAGCGCCAATGGCATGGGAAGTGTTTCCACTCGTGTTTATACTCTCGCGCTGCTCACTTCCCTGCCCACTCGGGCTGAGTGTAAATTGGGTATAAAAGAGTGCACCGTCATCCCTCATGCCTGTTTGAACACTAATCTGAATATAATTTCCTTAGCTTATCAGTAGATAAAATACACATTAAAAAATTACAAATTCTAGGAATGTTGTTTCCATTTTGGATCCGTAAATAATTGCAGAGAATTATACATATTAAGTTGTCTTTTGTTTTTACCACAATATTGTACCACACGGTACCCATTTACCATCAGATGGGCCGTATGCTTGGTTGCCACCACAGTATAAAAAAATATTGTTATGCCATCTGCCTGTTTGGCTTGTCTGTACTAATATAATAATGTTTTTACCACGCTATTGTACCATAACGGTAACCATTTACCATCAGATGGGCCGTATGCTTGGTTGCCACCACAGTATAAAAAATATTGTTATGCCATCTGCCTGTTTGGCTTGTCTATACTAATATAATAATGTTTTTATCACGATGTTGTACCACACGGTAACCATTTACCATCCGATGGGCCGTATGCCTTTGCCACCATCGTAGTATGAAAAAAATATTGTCTATATCATCTGCCTGCCTTGTTTATACTAAAATTATAAAGGTGTAGAGTTTCTTTCTTTATGATACTAGCTTTTACCCGCGGATTTGCTCGCATGTTTTTTTTTTAATAAAAATATCATACTATGTTCATTATAACACCTCCAAGAACATGTCGCCAATTAAATAGAAAAAAGACAAATTTCAAAATTAGGAGCTACAATTGCCTCCTTGTATAAGTCAATTAAATTAACCACGCCGTCTTAATCATTATCTAAATACTTTTAAAATGATATACAATACTTGTGTGTAAATTTAAAATTAAATATGTAATATATTATAAAATTTAATTAATTAAATTTTCTTTCTTTCTTTCTTTCTTTCTTTCTTTCTAAATTTATAAACTTTAAATGCCTGTCAACAAGACAAGACAATAATGCACATTTTGAATACTGATATTTGTCTATTTATCGGACTATGTGTACAATTTCATGATTATCGATTCAGTTTTTGCGTGAAAGCGTTACAAACACCTATACTTTCACATATTTCGACGACCTCGGTGGTCTAGCGGTCTAGCACACCGCTTTACGTCCGTTGGTCGCGGGTTCGATTCCTCGCAAGGCACCAATATTTGTATTCATGAGTATGATTGTTTGTATCGGTCTGGGTGTTTTCTATGTATAATATAGTATATGTATATAATATAGTATTTACGAAAAAAATATCTATGTACTTGTATCAGTTATCTAGTACCCGTAACACAAGCTTTAGCTAGCTTAACTTGGATCTAGATGGCGCTGTGTGAATTGTCCTGAGATTATTATTATTATTGTTATTTATAATATTAGTATTTAGTAAGAATAGAATAGAATAGAAAATCATTTATTCAAATAAACTTACATTGAAGCACTTTTGAATAGTCATTACATTTTTTTTAATCTGCCGCTCGTTCGGAAAGCTGTCTCATCACAAGAAGAACGAGCAAGAAACTTGCGTGATGCTCTTTTAAATAATTTTATTCTTACTTACAATTTAAGTTTATAATAATATATTTAGTCATCATATTATATTGTTTTAAGTTTTTTAATTTTAGGTTCTTAGTTGTACAACTAGGTTATGTAAATAATAAATTAAAACATATTGTATTATTAATAAAAAACACTATAAGGTAATAAAGTAAATTATTTAAGTTTAAATGTGTGAATACAAAGTAGTCATAATTTAATATGAAAGTAATGAATAAACTACGGAACTTTGAATGTATCAACACACGTATTGATTAATTTATCTTTGATTAGGATTGTAATCTACTCTGTATATAGCTTATGTACAGAATAGATTACAAAAAGGAGCACGATATGAGAATGTTTCAGTGTTTATTTATTTATATTTAATATTTATACATCAATAATATCATCAAAGTCCTCGAGTGGCGACCACGGACCGGAAGACGCAGCGTGGGAAGGCCTCCAGCAAAGTGGACCGACGATCTGGTCAAGATCGCTGGAAGGCATTGGATGCGAGCAGCGCAGGACCGATCGTCGTGGAGATCTTTGGGGGAGGCCTATGTCCAGCAGTGGACGTCTTCCGGGCTGCGATGATGATGATGATGAATAATATCATAATAAACAATATTTTTTATGCAACAGACATACAATACGGATGTTATGAATTTATTTAAGGATAATTCAGAGAGGTTGAAGAGTAATCGTCTATCGTGGTATGGACATGTAATGCGTAGGAATGAGGATAATATTTTAAGAAAGGTGTTACATATGAATGTGGATGGTTATAAGGGCAGAGGAAGGCCGAAAAAGAGATGGATGGACTGTGTGAAAGATGATATGGTGAGAAAGGAAGTAAATAACGAATAAAAGTCAATAAAATACCAATAAAAGTCCCGGCAAAATCGGTACAGCCATTTCGAGATTAGCCGGAACAAACAGACAAATGGACAAAAATTGTAATAAATGTTATTTTAGTGTATGTACCGTATTTATATGTAGTAAAAATCGGTTATTTTAATATTACAAAAATACACTCCAATTTATTTATATAAATTATTTATATTAATCTTCCTCTAGAATCACTATCTATTTAAAAACACCGCTTCAAAAACCATTGCGTAGTTTTAAAGATTTAAGCATACATAGGGACGGACAGACGGCGACAGCGACTTTGTTTCAACCTACGTAATGATTAGGGTATATTAGTAATGAGTTACTTTTGTCACTACATTTACTTCGGACAGTTAGTGGCAAATAAAACCCAAAGTTCGGCGAAAGCAAATGTATTAACAAAAATAACTTATTTCTGATTTAGTATACATATATCTTATATATAAAATTCTCGTGTCACAGTTTTCGTTCCCATACTCCTCCGAAACGGCTTGACCGATTCTCATGAAATTTTGTGAGCGTATTGAGTAGGCCTGAGAATCGGCCAACATCAATTTTTCATCCCCCTAAATGTTAGGGGTAGTCCACCCGTAATTTTTTTTATTTTAAGGCAAAACAACGTTTGCCGAGACAGCTAGTAGGTAATTAATATACGATTAAGTGGCAGAGTTCAGTCAGAAGAGAGTTTCTTTTCAACGAGTTTACAAAACTACTTTAAGATTTAGAATTTAAACATACATAGAGACGGACAGACAGCGACAGCGACTTTGTTTTATACTATGTAATGACAAGACGTAATGTGAGTCTTACGGTGTGGTAATGGTTTGTTTGTCACAGGAACGGTGAAAACGCTGTTGGTGGACGACAGCCAGATCGTGGCCAATCTGATGGTGGTCATATGCACCAAGATCGGCATCACCAACTACGACGAGTATGGACTGGTGAGTTTTTTTATTTATCTTTATTTAATATTTAACGCTGACAATGTTATCTGATTGCACTAGGAAGTGCGTAGCGGTTTCTATATTGATTATTACATGCCTCTTATTATTATTGACGACCTCGGTGGTCTAGCGGTCTGGTACATGTACGTACGACGGTCGCGGGTTAGATTCCTCGCACGGTACAAACATTTGTATTCATGAGTATGATTGTTTGTATCGGTCTGGGTGTTTTCTATGTATAATATGTATGTATTTACGAAAATATTATCTATATACTTGTATCAGTTATCTAGTACCCGTAACACAAGCTTTAGCTAGCTTAACTTGGGACTAGATGGCGCTGTGTGAATTGTCCTCAGATTATTATTATTATTATTAATTATTTACTTTAAATAACGTTTATTTAAAAGAGCAACACACAAGTTTCTCTCTCATTCTTCTTGCGATGAGTCTGCGTTCCGAAAGAGTGGTAGAATAGTGCTTGTATTGAGTTTATTTTAATAAAGATTATTTCTTTTCGTCCGTACGTCACCAATATCTACCGACTTAGTTAATAATCTCGCCAGTTTAAATTTGCTTAATATTATTTACACTAATTTTCGTATCTAGCAGTCAAACGGATTATATATCATGAATCCAGAACTATACAATGGTCCTTCGAGCCGGATAATAGAAATGTTAACTGATCAGTATCTGTACATGGAATACATGTGAGAACTTCAACATCATATGACCCAAAACAATGATTTTGACATATTTGTGTAGGAGAAAATTTCGTTCAAATTTATACGAAGATGAAAATGTAAAAAAAATCATAATGTGTTTACTCATGTATTACAGACTCTTATGATATGTCAACTCTACTGTCAGTTCGGAGTGCTTTAGAGCTGTGAAGAACTGACAAGAAACTTAGCTCTTATTCTTTTAAAACGAGCTTGCTTGTACATGATTATAAAAACGCAGATTCTTTTTTAAATTCAAATCAGTTCCTGTACTGAAGGCCAAAAATCTTATGCGAGAATTCTCTAGTATGTTTTTTTTAATAGTTGATAATGTAATGGTGCACCCGCCTGCGCTAACTTTTTACGCTGGCGAGGCACCAGTGGAGGATGATAAGATAAACTTGAAGTCAGATCAGTTAGCCCATCGAGAGAAATTCACCAGGAATTTATCTCGATGGTTTCCAGAGATCACTGCGTGCAGGCAAACCTGTCATGGTACTAGCTATAGGGTCACCAGTCCACTTTCTCACTCTCTAGTAATTTAGAATGTTGCACCTACTTTGCTGTGAAAGAGATAGCAGATGGATCATAATATTAAATTGTACAGGTACGAGAGGAACAGAAAGATGAGCCCGACCCATGCGAGCGTCCCAACTATGGCACGCTCACGCTGAAGCGTAAACACCACGAGAAAGAGCGAGACGCCAAGATGGAGCAGCTGAGGAAGAAATTGCGGACCGACGATGAAGGTTGGTGGAATTTATACTCTATTACTAGGGGAAGAGAGTATAAAGTCTCTATTTGTCTATCTATTTCTGCTACTAATAGCTAGATGTAAAAATATGTTTTTATTAAGGGCTATTGTCCAGTGTTTAGACATACACTGCGACCTGTATAGATCTATTGTGCTCGCCCTGTTTTTCAAAGTTCATTACCTTTTTTTTTTTTAAATCTTATATATAAAATTCTCGTGTCACAGTTTTCGTTCCCATACTCCTCCGAAACGGCTTGACCGATTCTCATGAAATTTTGTGAGCGTATTGAGTAGATCTGAGAATCGGCCAACATCTATTTTTCATCCCCCTAAATGTTAGGGGTAGTCCACCTCTAAATTTTTTTTTTATTTTAAGGCAAAACAACGTTTGCCGGGACAGTTAGTATATATATAGATATTGATTGTAATCTGTTTTGTATGGTAATGAACAAATAAATAAACTTATATTACATATATACAATTTATTTCTAACAATTATCGCCAAACTGCTTTGCAGTTTGTTGGCGATTAAGGACGCTCATTTTTACTCATACTTAATTTACAATTTAACTATAATATACAACTTATAAAGGGATAAATAACGGAATGACTGCGAACAGAGATGAATGGAAGAGAAAAACATATTACGCCGACCCCAAATAAATGGGATAAGGAAGAAGCAGATGATGATGATGATGATGATGATGATGATGATGATGATGATGATGATGATACAACTTATACTAATGCATTTTTTCGAGTAACCATCTTTTCAATTTAAATTTAAATATTTCTTTACTTGAACAATTGTTAAATTTAAACTTTCATGTTTAATATACATACATTATTTAAATTATTAACCAGGTCTTAACACGAATAATTTTATGACAAATAAAGGTATTTACCTCTCGACGTTTCGACTAGGTTGCACTAGCCGTGGTCACGAGCTGACTGGAGTAACAGCGATGTCAATGTAGATAGGTGACAGCAGTTTTTTCATCTACCGTCACTAGATTGTTTAACGAAAGTTCGCGACACACAGCACTCACGGTATCCGTATACATTGACTATTGATGCTACTGAACTTTGCTTGAATTTAGAATGATAGTGCAACCTAGTCGAAACGTCGATAGAGGTAAATACCTTTGAAGCGGAGGTATCAAATGTGTCTCATGAGTGAGAGGTGCTGAGGGTTTTAATGAGGAAAATACGGAGATTAAATAAAATGCGACTAGTATGACAGCGATATATAATAGAAAGTAACAATAAAGAATATGTCAAAGAATATTATTAGAAAAATTAAAAATAGTATAAAAACCTATCAAGGAGTACAAAGTACAACCTTTATTTGCCATAAAATTATTCGTGTTAAGACCAGGTTAATAATTTAATTAATTGAACAATCGTTTTCGTTAAATTTTTTATTAAATGTTCGTGGCGTAACGTACTTTCTTGTTCTCTCACCATAATAGTTGCATACCATCGGTTCAATATAAATTCAAATTCAAATTCAAAAATCATTTATTCATGTAGGACATTTTAGCCGCTTATGAACGTCAAATTTTTACATTATAATTTTATTTTTTCCCTACCGTCCAGTTCGGTATATATATCCAATTGAGAAGAACTGGCCAGAAACACAATTGAATTTTTTAAAGCCAGTTTATTTACAATGTATATTTATATAGGTGTCTATGTCTAACATTAAATGAAAATTCAGTGCATGAACAACTATTGCCATGCACCCTCGTCATTCAAGTAATCGTTTAGTGAGTAATAGGCTTTGCTCAGTAGTAATATACTTATTTATAGTTGTTTGTCTCATGCTATACTCAGTACCTAGCACGTACCGTACAGTACCCGTCAGGGACAAGAATTGAAGGATATTCTCAGCAGCGATGGTTTTTGTCTCCTCAGGATAGAGTGTAAACTTTCCAAAGGAGATATTTCGTTTATGCATGAGTGGGCTACAACCACATAGGATGTCTAGTGGCGTTTCCTCTTCAGCTTGCCAGATATAAATGCATTACATATATGGTAATGACCTGTATTCAATCGTGCAGTGAACTGGGTGGAACCAGCCAAGACTCTCCGTGAGCAGGGCATCGACGTAACGGAGACGCTGTTGCTGCGCCGGAAGCTGTTCTTCTCGGACCGGAATGTGGACTCTCGGGACCCGGTGCAGCTGAATCTGCTGTACGTGCAGGCGAGGGATGCCATCTTGGATGGGACTCATCCTGTCACACAGGACAAAGGTATACTATAACTCATAAGTCTGTCTTTTAATCCCGCAGACAAATTTGTTATTTCCAGGTTATTATCTATAGATAGATCTATACATATAAGTAAAATTGGAGTGTCTGTTTGTAATATTGAAATATCCGTTTTTTACTACATGCATATGAATATATAATAAATACGGTACATACACCAAAATAAGATTTTTTTTAAATTTTGTCTGTCTGTCTGTTTGTTCGCGCTAATCTCTGAAAAGGCTGGACCGATTTTGACGGGACTTTTATTGGTTGCATAGTCCTGTTTTTTTTTTAATAACAATTGTTGTGTTGTTGCAGCTTGCGAATTCGCCGGCATACAGTGTCAGATACAATTCGGTGATCACAAGGAAGACAAACACACGCCTGGATTTTTAGAGTAAGTATCTACATGTTTTTTTAAATATTTAAATATATATATATATATATTCTTTATTGCACTTAGTAAGAAACAACATATTTATAAATAAATAAAGAAATAGAGGCTCAGCAGTGGGGCCCTACATTACAGTTTTATTAAAACGCACATATCGCTATCAGTCAAATTGACAACACTGCCAACCCACAAAGAATTTAGGGGAACTCCGAAGGTATAACTTTCGTATTTCTCTCAACTGAGTTGCCATGATTAATGTCGGGTTGCAATCTGCTATATTTATTTGGAAATTTTCAAAAGTTCAGTTCGATAGATATTTTTTGGTAAGGGTTCGAGGGCCCTTTGAGCTTGAGGGCCCCGGGCACTGCCCTAATAGCCCCTAGGTAGCAACGTCACTGCTCGTATACTACCATCGTGGTGTAAAAAAAATGTTAAATGAGTATATACGAGCTGAGTTTCTTGTCAGTTCTCATCTCGAAATCATTCCGAACTGACGGTAGATTTGACATATCATAAGACTCTGTAATAGACCTACATGAATAAAGATATTTTGATTTTGATTTTGATATATTTGTTGCAGCCTGAAGGAGTTCTTGCCAGCATCATACGTGAAGGTGAAGGGTATTGAGAAGAAGGTGTTCAAGGAGCACAGGAAGCACCTCGGGCTCAGCGAGCTGGACGCCAAAGTGCTGTACACCAAGAGTGCTAGAGACCTGAAGACTTACGGTGTAGCTTTCTTCTTGGTCAAGGTGGGATTTCAAGGGATTTCATAATTTTTTTTAGCATTCACACCTAGACCTACCTATTGCTAGACCACCGAGGTCGTCAACATGTACCTCACATGTTGAAGACCTTGCTGGTCTAGCGGTCTAGCACACCGCTTTACGTCCGATGGTCGCGGGTTCGATTCCTCGCACGGCACAAACATTTGTATTCATGAGTATGATAGTGATTCAAGAGGAAGATGTTTATTTATATAATACATGTATACCCGTGCGAAGCCGGGGCAAATAGCTAGTAGTTGTATATAATGATAATCCTGGACAATTAACGCAGCGCCATCTAGTCTCGCGGTAAGCTGAGCTTCTGTTATGGGTACTAGACAACTGATATGATTGATATGAATTAGTGCTAATTAGTGGTTTGTATTCACACACTTAAACTTAAAAATGTAAAGAATTAATAAAATTATTTAAAACAGCAACACGCAAGTTTCTTGCTCGTTCTTCTTGTGATGAGACAGCTTTCCGAATGAGCGGTAGATTATAACAAATGTGATGTCTATTCAAAAGTGCTTCAATGTAAGTTTATTTGAATAAATGATTTTCTATTCTATTCTATATAAATACTTAGATATTTTTTTTGTATTTACATATATTTTATACATAGAAAACATCCAGACCGATACAAACAATCATACTCATGAATACAAATGTTTGTACCGTGCGAGGAATCGAACCCGCGACCATCGAAAGTAAATCGGATTTAGGCTATCAGTGTACCTAAAATGATATAAATCGGTTCAGAAGTTTTTGCGTGAAAGCGAGACACAGACAGAGTTACTTTCGCATTTATGATATTAGTAATTGCTTCAGTAATTGCGGACTTGTAAAGCTTATTCAAGTGTAATTGGTTTTTAGGAAAAAATGAAAGGCAAGAACAAGTTGGTGCCTCGATTGCTGGGCGTGACCAAGGATTCTGTGTTACGTCTGGACGAGAAGACGAAGGAGATCTTGCAGACCTGGCCGCTGACAACCGTCCGCCGCTGGTGCGCCAGCCCCAACACTTTCACCCTGGATTTCGGGGACTACAGGTCTGTGACTGCGTGTATTAATATGTTTTATAATCTGTGGCTCGACCCCTAAAGGGATCGCGAAGATTTATTATATATTTAACATAATAGTTTTAAATCTTTAAACAACGTTTCCACAACAATTTTAAAATTTACGTACATATACTAGTGTTTCCACTACTGTCGTCGTATGCAGCATAAAGATACATTTTTGTCGTTTCCGTACAAATAGTAATTTTTACAGTATTAAGCTACAAACCAACTTTTTTTTTCTCTGAAACAGCAATATATTTTAATAAGGTAATTGTTTTATGATATATGACACTATAAAAAGGTCATTTATTTTATAAACAAAACCAGTTAGTATTTATTTGAGTGAAAAATAAAAATCTAATTTGATACAACAACCGTCTATTTATTAATAACAACACTTTATTAATTTTGTGTTAATACGTTTTATATAAACATTCACACATTATTTCTGAATAACCTATAATAATGGGTAATTAATATTGTTTGGGAAACTACTCTGCTACCAAAATGTTAGGGAATATATAGGGGGATTTAGTGTGTCTGGCGTACCTGTATGGTTCTGCGGATTTCTTGGGCTTCAGGGTCTCAAAGGTATCTTCGCTAGCTTTCCAGCTTCACAGTAAGTTTCACAGTAGGTTAACACAGTTCTAATTTATTTCAATTCACAACACAATGCGCGCACGCGTCAAGGCCGCTGTACGGTCCGTTTGTTACTAGTTAAGGGAGGGGAAGGAAAGACGCGGTAACAGAAAACTAACGGACTCTAATATAATAATCTGTGCTTACGATGGTATAGGGTAGATTTTGAACAAATATTAATTTCCGATAGTGCCACAACCCTATTTAAAAAATGCAAAATCCTGTCAACATCGGTAACGTTAAATTTCTATCCGGGATTAAAAAAAACTGACTATAGGTGGCGCCGTGTGAAATATCCAGGATCATCATCATCATCGGTGATTGCATTAAAGGAAATGCACATCTGATGCAAATACCGGTGAAGTCTTTAGTCAAAGTGCCATAAAAAAACCTATTTTTCGCTTTTTTTTTATGGTAATATGTGGTATTTTCTCCACAGCGATCAGTACTACTCGGTGCAGACTACTGAAGCGGAGCAGATCCTGCAGGTGATCGCGGGGTACATAGACATCATCGTGAGGAAACAGCGCGCCAAGGACCACCTGGGTATCGAGGGTGATGAGGGATCCGCCATGTTGGAGGACTCTGTCTCACCGTCCAAGTGAGTAGATATATTTTTTCTCGAAACCTCCCAAAGGTTTGGGCATTTGTCATTTAGACCTAGTCGAAACGCAAAACTCCCACAGGTTTTGAGCTATTGTCATTTAGACCTAGTCGAAACGCAAAACTCCCACGGTTTTGAGCTATTGTCATTTATACCTAGTCGAAACGCAAAACTCCCACAGGTTTTGAGCTATTGTCATTTAGACCTAGTCGAATCCTTAAACCTCCCAAAGGTTTGAGCTATTGTCATTTAGACCTAGTCGAATCCTTAAACCTCCCAAAGGTTTGGGCATTTGTCATTTAGACCTAGTCGAAACGCAAAATTCCCACAGGTTTTGAGCTATTGTCATTTAGACCTAGTCGAATCTTTAAACCTCCCAAAGGTTTGAGCTATTGTCATTTAGACCTAGTCGAATCCTTAAACCTCCCAAAGGTTTGGGCATTTGTCATTTAGACCTAGTCGAAACGCAAAACTCCCACAGGTTTTGAGCTATTGTCATTTAGACCTAGTCGAATCCTTAAACCTCCCAAAGGTTTGAGCTATTGTTATTTAGACCTAGTCGAATCCTTAAACCTCCCAAAGGTTTGGGCATTTGTCATTTAGACCTAGTCGAAACGCAAAACTCCCACAGGTCTTGGCTATTGTCATTTAGACCTAGTCGAAACGCAAAACTCCCACAGGTTTTGAGCTATTGTCATTTAGAACTAGTCGAAACGCAAAACTCCCACAGGTTTTGAGCTATTGTCATTTAGACCTAGTCGAAACGCAAAACTCCCACAGGTCTTGGGTATTGTCATTTAGACCTAGTCGATTCGCAAACCTCCCACAGGTTTTGAGCTATTGTCATTTAGACCTAGTCGAATCGCAAACCTCCCAAAGGTTTAGGCATTTGTCATTTAGACCTAGTCGAAACTCAAAACTCCCACAGGCTTTGAGCTATTGTCATTTAGACCTAGTCGAATCGCAAACCTCCCACAGGTTTTGAGCTATTGTCATTTAGACCTAGTCGAATCGCAAACCTCCCAAAGGTTTAGGCATTTGTCATTTAGACCTAGTCGAATCACAAACCTCCCACAGGTTTTGAGCTATTGTCATTTAGACCTAGTCGAAACGCAAAACTCCCACGGTTTTGAGCTATTGTCATTTAGACCTAGTCGAATCGCAAACCTCCCACAGGTTTGGACTATTGTCAGGTGCTAAGATCTGTAGCACTGTGACCTACATAGATATATATGCTCGTCCTTCGTCCTCGCTACAAGTTAGGGACAAGAATTGAAGGATATTCTTAGGAGCGATGGTTTTTATCTCCTCAGGATAGAGTGTAAACTTTCCAAAGGAGATATTTCGTTTATGCATGAGTGGGCTACAACCACATAGGATGTGTAGTGGCATTTCTCTTCTGCTTGGCAAAATATGCAGATTGTTGTCATACTAAGATACATTGATACATATACATTTTACAACACATAAATATATAAATTATAAAAGAACAGAGTATATAAAAAGGAAAAAACATTAGTGATAGAAGGGTGAAATTAAAATAAATAATTGTATGTATTTTTAAATGCGACATTATAAAATAAATAAAAAGTTACACATAAATATATAAATTATAAAAAAACAGAGTATATAAAAAGGAAAAAACATTGGTGATAGAAGGGTGAAATTAAAATAAATAATAGTATGTATTTTTAAATGCGACATTATAAAATAAAAAAAAAGTTATTGTATAGTTAAGTATGAAAGAATTATTCCTCATTAAATGATTAAAAAAATGCCCGCCACAATATATGTCTATCTTTTAATGGTAATCAAATTTTGTCGAAATTAATGCAATATTGCCAAAATTGCTATAGCGTTTTTGATAACCACTCGAACGAAGTCGCGTCTAGTTTTATACATAAGATGTTGATGCATTGTGTGTTGTACAGGGCGAACATAATACAACACGACACGTTCAAGTCTGGTAAAGTGAATACGGAATCAGTGGCGAAACCAGCGGTGCACCGGCCCGGAGCTGAAGGTAAAATATAAACAAAACATATTATATTATATAGATTTATTTATATACTGTAGAAATATCAGTGTTGCTGGCGGCTTGTCTACCATTCTTTTAAAAAACTTTGTCTTTTTGGTATCTGATAGATAGATAGATAAAAATTTTATTCACGTTAAAGGCACACACACACACAAAAGGCACTGTAATAATAAGAACAAAAATAAAACAGATATACACATTACATTAGTGAAGTCAAACAAAATACAATACACAACAATTTTATTTGCATTTTATTTTATCTGTATAATTGTTGTGTATTGTATCTGTTTTTTATTTATTTATTTTAATGCACAAATACAATATATAAATATACATATGGCAAACAACACCTAAGGGCGACCATAAGGCAAACAGAGAAGTTTTATATGTCACTTTTGACCAGTTGTTGTTACTTTTTCGCTGTGAGCCCTTTTGGGAAATATTTATACACATTTATTTCAATTACAGTGGACCCCCGGTAGTCCGACAATCATTTTGCAGGGCAGTGTCGGACTATCGAATTTGTCGGATTATAGAGTACTGCCTAAGACCCCTTATAGTCCGAATTTTTTTACAAAAGAGTACCTTGTAATCCGACAAATTATAGATCCAATGATGATTCTTTATATTATATACATATACAGTGGACCCCCGGTTATCCGACAAACGTTTTGCAGGGCAGTGTCGGACCATCGTATTTGTCGGATTATAGAGTGCTGCTTAAGGGTCCTCTGCTTATAGTCCGGAATTTTTTACAAAAGAGTATCTTGTAATCCGACAAATTACAGATCCAGTGATAAGATTCTATGTTATAGTATGTATGTATTTGCACTCTGAAGTATATTGTCAAAGTAATATTCAATAACAAATAATAGACAATGTCGGATTACAAGGGGGGCCGGATTACCGCGGGTCCACTGTATATTATTTTTATTAATAGTAGATGTGTTGCCGCTCTATTCAAAACCAGGGATATACTATATATATGTTGACGCAATTTATAACGATCCCAACGACCCCATAACGGTAATTACGAACGTGCCCACCCGTTCCGTCCCGACCACACACACGACACCGTCCTCACCGTCGAAGACGACGACCTCAAACACACCATACCGCACAATCAATCGTGCGTCTGCGCGCGCTTGACGCTCCCCCGTCCAATTCAAACGCGGATTGAAATTACGACGGCCTGAGCCGAGGATCGAACCCCTAGCAGTGCCCGCAGACTAAAGTCGTATCCGTCAGGCGGGAGTTGGTCTTCAGCCGCTCCATAAGACCTTCCTTTGGTTTGGAGTGCCATCTGCACTCGCCCCCTATCGTCCGGTGAAGTTGTAAAGGCCACCTGAGTGATAGCATTAGAGTAGTCTGGAAAAAAACACTATAAAACACTAAGCCAATAACAGGTTTTCTCACTGTTATGTGCATAAGATCTCTTTTTGTGTAAAGCTATAAAATATTTGTAGTTATAAAGGGATAAAAATCTTTTTCTTTCTGTCAACAAGGAGTTTATTTCAACTCTTTGCCACGCACAACCACATTGTGGAATCACCTTCCAGCAATGGTATATCCGAACCGATACGATATTGAAACCTTCAAGAAAAGAGCTTATTCCTTTTTAAAAGGCCGACAACGTACTTGCAATTCCCCTGGTGTTGCGGGTGCTCATGGGCGGCGGTAATCACTTACCATCAGGTGAGCCGCAAGCTCGTTTGTCCCCTGTGCTTTAAATAATGATAATTAATCGAAAATTTGTAGAAAATGTCAGGGTAACAGTAATAGTGTAGAGAAATAGATAATTCAATGTATATATATTATTTTATGTTGTGATTTTATGTGTATTTTTTTGTCAACACACATTTTGTAATGTCAATACGTTTAAAACGGAATGGAGAATGCATATGCATATAAAATATATATTTTTACCAGAATATCTATATTTCTATGAATCATCTATACAATTTAAATAAAATTGGAGTGTCTGTTTGTAATATTAAAATAACCGTTTTTTTACTACATGATGACTATGATTATAAATACAGTACATATACCAAAATAATATTTTTTTACAATTTTTGTCTGTCTGTCTGTTTGTTCCGGCTAATCTCTGAAATGGCTGGAACGATTTTGACGGGACTTTTATTGGCAGGTAGCTGATGTAATAAGGAGTAACTCAGGCTACTTTTATTTTAGAAAAATAAAGTTAAATTCCACGCGGACAATGTCACGCGGGTACAGTTAGTATTTAAGTAAATTTGATATAAACTTTTTACTAGTCGTATTTTTTTTATGTTACCACTCATTCGAAGAGTTGTGAATAACAGCAAGTAAATAAATAATAATAAAATAGGGGAGTTAATAAGCTTAAAATCCAATTTTATTTAAAAATAATGTTGCCATTATACTAAATATATTTTTTAGTTCAATAAATTTTGAAATGTATAATCGAACAAGACTCCAAATATGATATTTTGTTTTAATAACCGTAAGTTTAGTTAGCATTCTCTATTCTATTTTTAGCGTCCATGCTAAATGTACAGCTATATTTTTAATGCACCATTTTGTTTATTTTTTTTTATTTGCGGTGTGGCGCAGGCGCTAAGCCGTTCGCGGTCGGACACCTGACGGGCGCTCAGCACACGACGGTGTCCGGACAGATCATCACCGGACACACGCCTCCCAATGTGTGTATATGCTTTATTTTTTTTTTTATTCTATAAGAGCACAATTTAAATGTTTTCAGACTATGGCTGTTTGAGTGCAGTTCCTTTGCGTTTATGTATTGATAAAAAAGTTAATATGATGTCCAGTGTGTGTATATGCTTTATCTTTTTTTTATATTCCAATACAGCACAATTTATGTATATATATATGTACTATACGTAATTAAAGTGACTTCAGATTATAGCTGTTTGAGTGTAGTTCCTTTGCGTTTATCTATAGATAAAAAAATTAAGTGATATGCTCGAGTGTGTTTCTAATGAGTATTCGGTGTTTGTATGTATTGTTTGTATTTGTCTGGGTTTCTTCTAAGTGTATTATCGGACAGTTATTAAGTATTCGACAGCCTCGATGGTCTAGCGGTTTACTTCCGATGGTCGCCAATTCGATCTCGCACGGCACAAACATTTGTATTCATGAGCATGATTGTTTGTATCGGTCTGGGTGTTTTCTTATTATGTATGTATTTACGAAACAAATCTGTGTATTTATATCAGTTGTCTAGTACCCATAACACAAGCGCTGCTTACCGTGGGACTAGATGGCGGTGTGTTAATAGTCCTGTGATATTTATCATAATTATCTGAAGTCACTTATTATTTTATAGTGTAACTTATTTATGTTGTAAGTTAATTTTTTTAGTCTTATTGTAGGCGACACGTAAATATAGAAAATAAAAATTGTAAATGTATTCTTAATATTAAAAAACGCGCGTTATGGCGGACGTAGGTGCGAGCGAGCGCGACTACAGCGCCTCGCGTTTTTCTTGCAGTACTAATCGGTTGCCGCGCTTTTTGTTCTCGCTTCGGCTCGCACCTCGCACCTCCGCAACGAGAATAAACAAAAACAAATCTATTTATTTCTTTTACATCTTCAACACTTATATAGTGTTATTTTTTATATTTGTTAGGGTTCACATCGATATTGTCGAAAAATCTGATATTTTATATTAAAAGAATGTAGTTTCATTATTACTGGGTATCGTTAAACTAGTTGCATATAACCCCCACTCATATCTTCTCTGTATAAAAGGGAGGGTTTTTGTAGGCCGCGGCATTCGGTGTTTGAGCACAGGATGTGCTGGTTGTATTTTAATTGCTAAAGTGAATTGTGTTAGAGACATAGTTAAATTAATGTTATATAGTTGTTATTTTATTATAATACATACTTTTACTAGTACATAGAGTTGATATATCTACATATTGTAATTGAATTTTTATAATATTAAAACCTGTGTAAGGGGCCGTTCAAGTATTACGTAAGCACTATAGGGGGGCGGGGGGGTCTTTTCTTTGCTTATTTTGGATGACATGGGGGTGGGGGAGTCTGTATGATGATTACGTCATCGGTCGTAATTTACTTTTTTACACGAATGGCAACCCTCACATTGTCTTTGCTAAAAAAAACAATACATTAATTGAGAGATGTTTACGTAAGCATGGGTGGAGGGGGTAAGAGCTTTGCTTACTTTTGCTGATAACGGGGGATGGGGGGTAAATAATTGTGATAAATCTGCTTACGTAATACTTGAACAGCCCCTAAGGATGAATAGATTCTTAGGTTTGAAATGAGTTTCTAACAGAACCGAACCTGACCATCGGTTGATCAGGCCAGTCAGCACCAAGAACGATATCAATCGAAGAATCCATACTACACTTTTTCATTTACTTACTAAATACTTCCTGAAACCTGTATTAAATATATATTTCCTGTTTGTTTCATGCTTACTAACACGGATGTTACAGTCTACGAAATAGGCTGTGTAGGTATAGAATTATTATACATATATATATACTAGCTGTCCCGGCAAACGTTGTTTTGCCATATAAATTAATAACGCTATAAAAAATAGGGGTTGATGATAGGAGGGTGAAAATTTAGGATTGTATGTATTTTTGTATGTTGTATCATATAAAAATAGAAACTAAAAATTTTGTCTAAAATATAAAAAAAACAATTTAGGGGTGGACTACCCCTAACATTTAGGGGGATGAAAAATAGATGTTGGCCGATTCTCAGACCTACTCAAAAAGGTCACAAAATTTCATTAGAATCGGTCAAGCCGTTTCGGAGGAGTATGGGAACGAAAACTGTGACACGAGAATTTTATATATAAGATATAAATATATACACGGTTAGCCGGAAAGGGTTTTTTTTATTATTAATTGGTTTTTTGAGCTATTGTCAGGTGCTTGGACCTGTAGCACTGCGACCTACATAGATCTATTGTGCTCGCCATTTTCAAAGTTCGCTACCTAGACCCGTCAGGGACAAGAATTGAAGGATATTCTTAGGAGCGAAGATTTTTATCTCCTCAGGATAGAGTGTATACTTTCCAAAGAAGATATTTCGTGATTTTATGAATAAGTGGGATATGTCAAATCTACCGTCAGTTCGGAATGATTTCGAGACGAGACCTGACAAGAAACTCAGCTCGTATTCTTTTCAAATAAATATTGTACATGTCTACAATAATACAGATTTTTAAATTCAAATTTGGGAGAATAGAGTGACCACCAGCATATGATATTGGTAAAAGCAAATAGTCGGATCAGTGTTCGTAATCCGATCTACTTGGTACATTGCAGGCCTCTCAAGTGCAGCAGACGAAGGTGACGTCTGTCCTGACGGAGCCACAGAGGGCGCTGCTGTCCACCATCACCGCCGGACGGGAGATCATCAAGACCACTGAAGAGGGACTCGACAGGGTGAGTTGAATTCAAAATGCAAAATCTTTATTCATGTAGGTCTATTACAGACTCTTATGATATGTCAAATCTACCGTTAGTTCGGAATGATTTCGAGATGAGAACTGACTACTGACTGGTCCAGCGGTTTAGCACACCGCTTTACTTCCGATGGTCACGGATTCGATTCCTCGTACGGCAACAACATGTATATTCATGAGTGTGATTGTTTGTATCGATCTGAGTGTTTTCTATGTATATTATGTATGTATTTATGAAAAAAAATCTTTGTATTTCTATCAGTTATCTAATACCCATAACACAAGCTGTAGCTAGCTTAACTTGGGTCTAGATGGCGCTGTGTGAATTGTCCTGAGATTATTATTATCACATAGGCCATATGCTAGTTTGCTAGCGTCGTAGTATAAAAGACGATGGTTTGTCCCCAGGCGTCTGTGCCGCAGCTGGGTCATGACGCAGCATCAGTGAAGTGGAAGCAAGTAACCATGGATACCAGCAAGCAGGTGGTGACGTCACAGATCGCAGCCATGAACGCCGCCACAGCACAGGTCGTCACCCTCACCTCAGGTATGTACCATGTACCATGACAGTCACTTCATTTTTTTTAATTCGAAACATATGTTAAATCATTTTTACTGAGGAAGGCCTATTACTCACTAAACGATTACTTGAATAACGAGCGTGCATGGAAATAGTTGTTCATGTACGGGATTTTCATTTAATGTTAGACATAGACACCTATATAAATATACATTGTAAATAAACTGGCTTCTATGGCTTATAAAATAAGTAATTCAATTTAGTTTCCTGCCAGCTCTTCTCAATTGGATCTATATACTGAACTGGACAGTAGGGGAAAAATTATAATATAAAATTCGTCTGTCTGTCTGTGTGTTCCGGCTAATCTCTGAAACGGCTGGACCGATTTTGACGTAACTTTCATTGGCAGGTAGCTGGTTCCCTTTATTACATAAGAGTAACTTAGGCAACTTTTATTTTAGGAAAATAAAGTTAAATTCCACGCGGATGAAGTCGCGGGAACAGCTAGTAATAAATAAAAAAGCAGTTCACGTAGACAAAACTCCTCAGTAACATATTTTTTTTATAATTAGTTGATATGACTTTGATGTCGTCTCACAGGACCAACAGAGGAAGTGGACCACACAGCTGTGGGCGCTGCCATCACGACCATAACCAGCAACCTGCCGGAGATGACCAAGGGTGTGCAGATGATCGCAGCTCTAATGGACGACACCGATAACGGTGATAAACTCCTGGACGCCACCAGGAAGCTGTGCAGTGCGTTCACTGATCTACTGAAGGCAGCTGAACCAGAGACTAAAGAAGTAAGTTTTTTTATGCATTAAATTCTTTATTCGAACTATTTTAACGCTGTTGGCCGCAGCTGGCCTTTACAGCTTCACGGGACAATCGGGGACGAGTGCAGATGGCACTCCAAACCAAAGGAAGGACTTATGAAGCGGCTGAATGCCAACTCCTGCCTGATACGACTTTAGTGAGTGGGCAGGGAAGTGAGCAGCGCGAGAGTGTAAACACTTCCCATGCCATTGGCGCTGCCACTCGCGCTGCCCGGCGCTCCCTCGATTGTCGGTTATTCGTGAGCGAGTCAAAGGACTGGCAGCGTGCTTTTACATTCAATTGTCGCCCGGCAATATTTCCGGCAGCGCGAGTGGCAGGGGAAGCGGCTGAATGTAAACGTAGCATTAGATTATAGCACTGTTGTCTTCATATATGATACTTGTATACTTTGGTAAGAAAGAAGTTTTAAAATGTCTGTCTACATTCCAGCCCCGCCAGAACCTCCTCAACGCCGCATCACGCGTCGGAGAAGCCTCCACCACTGTACTGTACACCATCGGAGAAGAAACCGAAGAGGACAAAGAAACACAGGTAACAGATAACGAGAGACGCGGCAAAAAGTCCTACCTCTATCGCAAACTCAATTACTGCTACGATAACTTTTACAAAGCGTTTTTCAACAAAGAAAAAGAATATGATTCTGAATTTGATAATGTTGTACAATGTGATGAATGCAAGGTTAAGTATGAAGATGATGGTTTGTATGAAGATGTTGATACTACCAACTGGTTAGGACTCGACGTCATCCAGGAGGAATCTGATAGTGACTATTACAGGAGTTTAGACTATTGTAATGCAATATTCAAGAAAGGTAGACCGGTTACTATTGAGGATATTAACATAGATAGAGCCAATAAAAGTGATAACGCCTGTAAATTGATAGATTTTCAGTCGATATTAGAAAGTTGCGAAGGTTATTTACATCAAAGAAATAATGATAAAAATGAGAATAGTGAAGAAACACCGAAATTGTATCCGAAAACAATTTCCGATAAGATTTATGACTTTAAAAAGGACTTCTCTAATCATAATTATGTTAACGTCCATTATGACACACCTAAACGTGATTATACTAACGCCGAAACAGACGGACGTACGAAAAATGATATGTTAAGAGAACGTTTCTTCCTCTCAGATGACAATGATAAAAATCAAATCAATGAACGTTACAATAAACAGAAGAAAATTGAATGTCACAGTATTAGGAATGACGTCACTAAAGCAGGCCCGGACGTTAAAGTATCAGGGGCTTTAAATATGAAATTAGTCAACTTGGACAAGTACAATCGTGTGTTGACAACAACAGAAACGTCTATGGAACAAGCGGAAGCTAGTTTCACGAAATACCAGCTCAGTAAAATGAATAGAGATAATTTGGAATCGTTTTTGAAACGTAGCGAGAAATATTATACGACAGAAACGCGTGACAGGACGACTAAAGTCGAGATGAATAATAGTGAGGCTGAAAAGGGAAAGACTGAGATACGTATTTTCTATAACCCCACGTTTAGGGCTACTGGGGATAAGTCTATAAGAGGCTTCTGTCAGTTTTGCAAAAGGAGGTGCCCCAGAAACGAGGAGAAGTGTTGTGCCAAATGCATTTGTTTAGAGTTAGAAATGAAAATGATATGGAAGGAGAATTGGTTGAATATATTATGTTTGTTGTCGCTTATTTTCGTGTTCATTGCGTTGTTAATACAATGGATTATTCCGGGCAATGTATGCGAAAGCGGTAATGGAACGGAGACTGATGGAAGGTGTTTTGAGATGGTATAGGGTTTGTTAGATCTGTTAAGAGGCATGGATTAACAATCTAAGATGAGGTTTTTAATTGATCACAATGGTATGGTATTTCACTCGTTAGAAAAGGGCTTAATTAAACAGAGGGACTTTATTTTTAATCCAATTAGGTGTTATTTAGCGGAAGTCCATGTTATTAATTAATTAATTAATATTATTTTATTAATTCCGCTACAATTAGCATGTGTGAGACCACATATATTCAGTGTGGAAACTTGACTACCATTACGACCTTGCCTAATGAAATTACTACAGATTCGCGGCTTAGTCACTGAAGAGTCAACACTAGACTTCCAAGCTATATCCGAACCCTATTCAACGCCTCGTTTAGAGGCAATACACGTGTTATGGGTGTAGACTGAATAACGGACGGAATTTGATCACCATTAGAGAAGGTCGTAACGGTAGTCAAGTTTCCACACTGAATATTTGTGGTCTCACACATGCTAATTGTAGCGGAATTAACAAAATAATGTAAATCTATCAAGTAGAGTAACTTTAGACGATTGGTAAATGAATCTATTGACAACTGTCCGATCATCATAGAATAAAAAGAGACAGCAACATGTAGCGTCTTTGTCTTTCGTAATGTGTATGTTATACACTTCTTTCTTCCGTGGAGATATTATCTGGATAGTTAGTGGATGTGTTGTACTCTCTTCTAGGTAGTAGGTTCGAATATAGTACTTAAATTATCCGGCTCGACGGACCAGATGGTTGTATAGGTACAATCAATGATTTTTCAGGAAGGGTATATTTAGGTTTCTTAAGGGTCGCCAACGCGCACGTGATACCCCTAGTGTTTCAGGCATCCATAGGCTACGGTAACCATTTACCATCAGATGGTCCGTATGCTTGATTGCCACCATCGTAGTATAAAAAAAAATGAATGGGTATAAACTGGATTTCAACAAAAATGCCATAATTGTGGTCAATTGGCACTAGTGATTTGTACTTAGTTCCTCTATCTCGTTCTTATGTATTGGAAATGAGAGGGAAGGTTATTGATTACGCGTGAAATTTTCCGCCTAAAACGGCGTAGGCTAGGGTTGTCTCCATTCTCTCTGTATTTCGATTTATATTAAAACATATATTATTTAACTCATACACTATTACTATTATATGATTACTATTGAACATAGTTTTTTTTGTTAATTTATATTTACACATATTTTTGTTAAACTGTACATGCATGATGTTTAATTTTTTATTACTTATTCTGTCATCGAGAGACACACGTACACAATTTTTTTTACAATTTACTTGTGTAATAATTTTTTTTTACAATATTTACACAAATTCACTTATTTCTATTTAATTACCCGTATATGCGTGCTCTCTCTGATTCGTACGGCTCTCTTTTCCTTTGCTTGTCTTATCGAAGTACTTATTTTTTTAATACTTCATTTTTTTTGACCCACCCTCGTCGAATAAAGACAAAGGAAAAAGACTGCTATGAAATACACCTCAATTGTATTTATATGTATATTGAGAATCTCATTTACCATTATAATATGTATATATATGTAGTGTTGCCACTTTACAAAATTATTATGTATATAATTTATCTGGGCACATAACCTAAAATTTATGAAATAAAAATACTAGATTTATGCTGGGGTAGTTTTAAAGGCATAAACAAAACAAACCAAAAGCTAATGATAATATTCAAGAACTTCATTATTCTTCAGTTCGTGGAAGTAAAGCGGAATTTATAAAATAATATTTGAAGCCTCCATGCAAAATGCACGGTCACGTGACCAATTTAATAATAAATCAAGTTTCTTAATAATAAAACCTAAGGTTTGTTTGTATGGACCTTTGTTTTGCTTATTCGCTCGGAAACTACCGAACATAATTTGATGAAACTTTACAGTAATGTAGCTGATACATTAAAATAAGAAGGCTAAAATTAAAAAAAATAGTGTTAAATGATGATTGAATAAGGGTGTAGTATTTTCGTAATTCCCTTCTTTATTTGTGAATGAATTTGGTACAGATACATAATTATTGAGCCCGGCTTTTGGCTTTTATACCCTTTAAATATAATCCCATATGTATATATATATATATATGTATATGATACATTATGTTATATCTGTACCATGAAATATCAAAAAAGTTATTATGCATTTTGGTTATAAGAAAAATTTGATTGTAATAATTTTTTTTTATAACCAAAATGCCTAATAACTTTTTGATATTAACAAAAAAAGCATTATTAACTAAAATATTATATTATATAATACTAATTCAATGAACTAATATAACAAATATAATATATAACAATAAGTGGCATCACTGTAACATAATTGTTAAGTTTAATACCCACAATTCATATATTTGTTTTGTTATTTGATATTTTAATTAACAATGGGCTAAGTCTTACTAATCTAGTCGTTACAATTGTTTATTTTTTTATTGTTAAATTTATCGCCATTAAAATATAATTATTAGTATGATAGAATTAGACATTTTTATATATATAATATTATTTAGGAAAATATACAACATTATTATTATTATACAATAATATTTACAAGAATACATTACTTTTAATTTTACAAGTATATTGGAAAAGTATTATTTATATTTAATGAAAAATAATTATTACTTATAATTTATTGGAATTAATAAAATACTTTTTGTTAATTGGACACGTATATTGGAAAGTATTAATATTTATTGAAAAGTAATGATGCCTTAAAAATTATTGGAATTTGAAAAAAAACTAACGTCTAATTTTACAAATATATTGGAAAAAGTATTAATATTTATAGTATTATTAATTTGGAAAGTATAAGTTACTTAAAATTTAATGGAATTAATAAAATACTTCTTGTTAAGTATATTAGAAAGGTATTATTAATATTTGAATAGAAAATAATTATATCTTAACATTATTGGAATTCATACTTCTTGCTTATCTTCATTAGACAAGTATAGTAGAAAAAGTTTATTACATTTATGGAATAATAATAATGTTTTCATATTTATTGGAATTAGAAAAAAACGATAAATTTCATATTTAAGAAAATTATTATTAATATAAAAAGAATTAATAAAATACTTTTAATATTTTTTAATAATTCTACAAGTACATTGGAAAAGTATTATTAATATGTAATGAAAATAATGGTAACTTATAATTTATTGGAATTAATAAAATACTTTTTGTTAATTTAATAAATATATTGGAAAAATTATTAATATTTAAAGGAAGTTAATAGTATCCTATTTATTGGAATTTATGAAAAACTTACTATTGTTTATTGAACAAGTATAAATACATAAAGGTTTTTATAGTTATGCTAAAATAATATAATTTTCATATTTATTGGAATTAGAAAACTAAAGTTATTGCTAATTTGCTAAGTAGATTGGAAAAAGTATTAATATTTAATGGAAAATAATGATTACTTAAAATTTATTGGAATTTATAAATCACTTTTTGTTAATTTGACAAGTATATTGGAAAAAGTATTAATATTTAATGAAAAATAATGATTACTTAAAATTTATTGGAATTCATAAATTACTTTTTGTTAATTTGACAAGTATATTGGAAAAAGTATTAATATTTAATGAAAAATAATGATTACTTAAAATTTATTGGAATTTATAAAATACTCTCTGTTAATTTGACAAGTATATTGGAAAAAGTATTAATATTTAATGAAAAATAATGATTAATGAAAATTTATTGGAATTTATAAAATACTCTCTGTTAA